CCCAGGCACCCAAGTGCCCCCCCCCCCACCAGGCTACCCAGCTCCCAAGCCCCCTGTTGGGCTCCATGCAGCTGATATCTACATGCAGACCAAGAACAAGCTCCGCCACGTGGAGACTGAGGTCCTCAAGAAGCAGGTAGTGAGCCCTCACCCCTGCCTGCCTCCCAGCAGTCGGACTGGGCTGGTGGGAGCCAGCTGAGGCCAAGGGACTGGCCAGTGGGCATGGGGTGAGAGTCCCTAGGCCCATGGCATGTTCAAGAGTCAAAACTGGCAGTCCCATGGAGGGCTCAGGACTGGGCACTGGAGAATGGGGAGATGAGTAAAACAAAGTCGCTGCCCTCAGTGGTGAGTTGGGGAGTGAAAGAACACATACCAGACGGCCCTGCCTCACCAGGAACTGGGTCTGTGCCAGCTCTCGCACAGAGTGGCAGCACTGTCATGGAGCTGACAGAGAACGCAGGCGGCCTGTTCCTTCACAGACACACACTCACAGCCTTGGGCTCAGGTGGAGACTGGCACCCAAGGGAGGTGTGGTCCAGCTGAGAGAGGGCAGTGGCATGGATGAGATGAGGCCCAGGAGGAGGGGGACAAGACCTGATACTCATTGGCAGTGGGGGCTGAGGGAGGTGAGGAAGCTGAAATGAATCTGCCTCCTAGTTTGGAGCTGAGCTCTGGGAGGATGGATAGGCCATCCTGGGGTGGGAAGGGAATGGGTTAGTGTGGGCACAGTGAGTGTGAGGTGCCCAGGTCTTCCAGGGCCTGCAGGCTCCTGACTGAGGCTCTGTAGTCAAGGAGGGGCAGAGGTCTGGTCTGGATAACTGGGAGTCCTGGGCAGGAAGCCCAGGGGGAGTCCTGACTACTAGGCAGAGGGACAGAGCAAGGCTGATCTGACTGGTAGGGGCAGCCTGAGACTGAACGGCCAGTGGTAGGTGGCAGCCCCTCAGGTCCTGGTGGAGCCAAGACCTTGCCATTCTCTCTCTAGCCTAAAGCAGGCCACACGCCCCCCCCCTCACCCCACCCCACCTCAAGCTGAGTAACCAGTTTGCACAGGTGACCCAGGGCACAAGGCCACTGGGTGGAGAGGCATGGGAGGAACCTTGAACCTTCACCTGGAGTCCAACCACGGCCACCCCCTTAGTGCCAATTCAGACCGAGCTCTCCCATCAGGTTCTGCTTTCATCTCAGGAGACAGATGACTTGGGCTGTGCTTCAGGGGCCCTGGGACCACTGGACTTTCCCAGCCTTGCCTGGGCCCTGCCCAAAGCCACAGAACAGGTGGCCTGGCCCTTCCCACCCCTAAGCCCCAGCACCAGAACTGAACTGTCTCGGCGCCCCTCCCAGAGTGTGTGCGTGCTGGGCTGCAGGCCCTGCGGCCGCTGCACAAAGAGCCCTTTGTCCAAACGCCGCGCCCCCTGCGCAGTTGCCGACCACGGGCGGGAGCAGGGTCGTGGTGTCCGAGCCTCCGGGCTGCAGGGGGCGCCGAGGGGGCGGGCTGGCCCAGAAAACAAATCCTGCAGTGTCGCGTTTCTAGCAACGTGAGCCTGTTCGGGCGGGGTGCAGAGGGTCCGAGGCCACCGCGGGGACGCACGGGTTGGGAGGTGGGAGAGGACACTCCTGTCCGGTCACTCGGCCTTTGGCCCCACTGCCTCACGTCCCTTTTCCTGTGATGGCCTTAGCAGGGGGCAACCGCAATAGGGCGGGACGCTGCACTGTCACCGGAGCCCGCTTTGCCGCCCCTGAAACCTGAAGCTTGGGCGCTGGCGTCGGTGTCGCTTACGCAGATGGCGATGGTTTCCAGATGCGGGGGATGGGGATGGCGGGGGCGCGACCCAGAACCCAGAGGCCAAATAGGAGAGGCCTCATTGTCGGTGGTCAGGCCCACAGTCCTCTCGGTCGGATGTGTGTTGGGATGACCGTCAGGGTGTTGAGGACTTAGTCTAGAGAGAGAAGCGCAGGGGCGGGGTCACATCTGGTACTTCGGGTAGGCGCGGGCAGCGACCAGGCGTGGCGGAGCAGTTGGCAGCCCCCTGGCAGCCCCCTGGCAGCCCCAACTGCGGGGGGATTCAGCCTGGGATTGGCAGACCCAAGGTGATGTCAGGCCGACTGAGCCCATAGGTCGGCCGCGCGCGAGCGGGCAGGCGCAGGCCGGGCTGTAACCTGAGAGGAAGGATCAGGTAACGCAGGTGTCGGGTCCGTGCCGCCCCCGCTGCCAGGTGCACAGCGGGGGCCACCAGCACAGTCGCAGGTAGGAGCAGCCCCGAGGCTGAGTGACCAGGGCCAAGCGGGAGCCCAAGAGGGCACTGGCTCTCGAGAGGGCTCCCTCCTGGCCCGGACCCCAACAAGAAAGGGTTCGGTGGAGTCTTGGGGAGGCACGGTCAGTATAGCTGCCGCCAGTGGGATGTGGCAAAGGCCTTAACGCCAGCTAAGCTGAGAGCTGCCCCTTCTCCGGCTCCCCCTGGCGTCTGGGCTGGGCCACCCCGCCCCTGGGCCCGCCCCTTCTGGCCTCAGTGGGGGCCCGTGCCCCTTGGCCAGCACCCAGAACCCCTCCCTGTAGGGCCGCCGCGACTGCTCTTCCACCAAAACCCCCATGACCCTCGCCCGATCCCTCCTCTGAGACAGGGGGTATCTAGGAACGTGATCAGCAGCATTCCTCGACGGCGCTGGTCACAAGCTACGGGAAGGCGAAGAGCTGGGAGGGAAGTGAGGGGGGCGTAAGGACAAGTGCTTGAGGCCGGTCCTCCACTGTCTTTCCGCAGCCTAGTTCCCGCGACAGCCACAACGGGTTGCGGAGGCAGGATTCCGGCCGCAAGCCCCGCGCTTTCAGCAAGCAGCCCAGCACGGGAGACTACTACCGCCAGCTGGGCCGCTGCCCCAGGGAGCCACTGGCCGCGCGCCCGGGCATGGCACACAGCGAGGAGGTGCGTGCCCTCCAGCCCGCACCCACCGGCTGCCCGGGACCCGGCCCTGCACCCCGCTTCTCACTCGCTGACCCCTCCGCTCCCCCGCAGGCTGCGCTGCTTCCTGGGAACCACGTGCACAACGGCTGCGCTGCAGACCCCAAGGCGGCCAGGGAACTGCCACCGCCACCGCCGCCACCGCCGCCTCCCCTGCCTGAGGCCCTGAGCTCGCCACCACCTGCCCCGCCTCTGCCCTTCGAGGGAGCTGGCCCCGGCTGCGGGCAGCGCCGCTCTAGCTCGTCCACCGGCAGTGAGTCAGGGGCGGGTGGAGAGTGGGGGGCGGTGCTAGTCCTGAAAGGGGAGGGAAATCTAAACACCCGCCCCCTCCCCAGTTGCCACTGCCCTTTTTCCTCTCCTACTCGTTCTTTCTCCCAGCCCCTACCCCGTGAGTACTTGACCCCAGGAGAAGGCTCTGAGTTGCTTTAGTACCTGGCTGAGCAGGGCGGCTGTGTGGCCTGGGGCAAGTACCCTCCTCTCTCTGGTACTTCTCCCATGGCTAGGGAGGGCCTCCCAGCTCCGGTGGCTGGGGTTTCTGATGCGTTGGTGCTGGAGCAAAGCTCCGGCAGAACTAACTTCCATTGTAGGAGACGGGAGTGCTGGCCAACCTCTTCCTGCCCCTCCTCTACCCTGAGTCTCTCTTCCTTTCCCCACCTCTCTGTTCCGAACTAGCACAGACCTGAGCCCTTAGACATGTCAGGTACCCTCCCTAACCAGCCCCATCGGGGTCCTGCACCAGCCAGGACCTGGCTCTGGGGACAAGGCCAGTGACCTATCACATTTTCCTTCCCACCTAGTGATGACTCCCCTGTGCATCCTTCAGAGCTAGACTGGTGACTAGGGTTCCTGGGCTTCTTTTCTGTAGGATGCGGCAGTGCCCCACCCACCAGCCCTGGAAGGCCCAGGAGGCGGTTTCTAGGTGTTAGTGCTGGCCCTGTCGGGTTCCTCATCCAGCCACTCAGCACAGGGACCATGCTTAGTGGCACCATCCAAAGTTTCATGTCCCTGACTAGGAGAGCTGGGTCCTCTGGAGTGCCTAGGGAACCCCAGCCTCCACAGAGCCCACGGTAACAGGTCCGCCGCTGGCAGAACCTGCAGAAAGCCCCCAGCCCACTCCCAGCTCTGGAGGCAGCTTCTCTTTCCTTCTGTAACCTGCAGGAGGGTCGAAGCTAGGAACAGAAGAAAAATAGCCCTTCCAGCAGAACCTGGGCTGGGTGCCCTGTCCCAAACCCATGCCAAGTTGAAGGCCCTTGCTGGGGGTGAGGGGCAGGGTTTTCCTGCCCAGCCCACAGAGGCACCTGCCAAGCTGGGAACTGGATGGACCACCCTTGTGGGGCCCCAGAGTGGCCTGAGCCAGGGTCAGATGGGCAGGCAAGCTCCTCCTCTCCACTGCCCCCCTCCTGTCCTCCCTAGCCCTCTTGTCCCTGACCTTCCCAGTCTTACCCTAGACCCTCTCACTCCTAACTTTGCTGTCACTTCTCTCCTCTCGGTCCATAGAAGTGAGAGTCCTGAGGCACAGGAAGAGTGAGTAGCTGCGTGCGCGGCTCCTGGCTGAGGCTGAGCTGAGGCGCGGGGTCGGGGAGCAGGCTTGCCCAGGAAAAGTGAGGCACAGGGGGCCCTGGACCGGAGGAAAGGGCAGGGCTGGGGACCAGCAGGCAAGGAGACCCCAATACAACGGGGGGCCTTGAACCCCATGCCTACCTCGTAACCCCACCACACTCACATACATTCTGCACCTGGCTGCTGGTTTTGCCTAAATGAGCCGGCTGCATTGCCTTTCCCTCCTCTCACATCCCTGTGAGTAAGCTCTGGGATCTCCAGCCTAGGCATCCATGAGCAGCAGCTCTGTTTTGTCCCTGCCACCCAGATCTGACCCCTTCCTCAGTATTCTAAAGATGACCCTCCCTAAATCCCATTCACCTCCGGACACAGAGCCCGGAAAATGCAAATTCTGCCCTGGACATTTGCATGTTGTCCGCCTAGCCCTTCCTCCTGGGTGCCCCTCCTTATCGTCAGTAAGGGTGCTGCTTTCCTGGGTCCCCAGAGCTGAGTAGTGCTTTGCCTAAGTGTGCTCCTGCCTTGCAAACCAGTGTGTCTGCTCACACGTCTGTCTGTGGGTGTGTGGGGGGGGCTGGGTACTAGCACTCTGGGGTCCCAAGTCTGTATGGCCACGGAAGCTCCAGTTGACTCAGTCCAAGGGTCACTGAACTTTGCTGATGCGGGGAGAGGGCCAGAAGGAGACTCCACCCCAATGGGCTGAGCCAGGGAACCCAGGACAAAGGTCGGGAGACTGTCCTCAGGTAGTGTTTTGGAGTTGGGCAGTCAGTGGTTGGGCGGAGACATACACTAGAGTCCCGGGCTGGCCCAAGAACACCATGAATGCCCATGGGTCTCCTGGCGGAGGGCCTAGGCCCTGTGAGTAGCATTGGGCAGATGGTGGGCCTACCTCTGGTGGTCCTGAGAACTGCCTTCGGGATTGTGCATCTGGAGAGCTGCTCTCTGGGCCGAAGAGAACCCCCAGCCTGTGAAGGCTTGGGGAGGAGGTGTAGAGGTGGGGGTAGAGGGTGGAGGGGCCACTGCTCCACCACAGGGACGATGCCTCCTCTCCTGCCTCTGTGCAGGCACCAAGTCTTTCAACATGATGTCTCCAACCGGTGACAACTCAGAGCTACTGGCTGAGATCAAGGCAGGCAAGAGCCTGAAGCCGACACCACAAAGCAAGGGGCTGACCACAGTGTTCTCAGGCAGCGGGCAGTCGGCCCCACAGGTAGGTGGGCTGACAGGTACCCCAGCCCTGGCTCCCGTTGCCTGGGCTGCCTATGCTCATCCCTACTGCTTTTCCCCACAGCCTGACTCACCACAGCCGTCCGTGTCACCAGCACCATCACGAGCCCGGAGCCCCACTCCACCAGCCTCAGGGCCCCAGCCACTGCTTAATGGCAGGAACTGCTTAATGGCAGTATGGCACCGGCGCCGCCTGCCACGCCTGCCCCGGGCGTGCAGCTAGACGTGGAGGCGCTCATCCCCACGCATGATGAGCAGGGCCGGCCCATCCCTGAGTGGAAGCGCCAAGTGATGGTGCGCAAGCTGCAGCTGAAGATGCAGGAAGAAGAGGAGCAGAGGCGGAAGGTGGGTGGGATGGGGCTTCTCAGAGGGCCATGGGGTCTGCATCTGGACCCACAGTCCATCACCCATGCCAACCTGCCCTGGCCCTCAACCTCAGGTGGCTCCCGTTACCTTTGGAGAAAAGCGGGGTGGCAGGACAGCCCCCCCCTTCCCTGGACTGGTCCCAGTCTACACATACACACGCCGCCACCAGCAGCAGCCTGTCCATTGAAGGTAGAGGGCAATATTGATCACACGCTACTGTGCCTTCTAATTGCCTGGGCTCCCTTTTAAATACCTGTTCTGATTCAGAAATTCTGGTGATATGGTGCATTTCTAACACACTCCTGGGAGTGTCTGGTGACAGTGCTGGTTCAGGGACTGCATCGAAGCACCAAGAGAGCTTGGTCTCAGGCAGACTGACCTGAACTGCCACTTTCTAGTTTTTGTTATCGAGCCTAACCCGGCTTCGATTTCCTCCTCTTTAAGATGGGTTGATCACCAGTAACTGGTGGGGTGCTTTGCCATGCATTCATTCAACAGCTTTTTTCTGAGTGACATTTATTTTGTGTCATGTACGCTGTTGTAGCCTCTAGGGATGCAGGGTCACTCTATCAAGGCTTGCTTTTAAGGTAGCTGGGGGGGGGGAGAGGTGTGTGGGAACTACAGGCAAATAAGAGCCCCCCAAGGAGACAAAAGAGGATGGTGTGAGAGTAACTGGGAGACAATTTACAACATGCCAGCGCTGTGACGGGGAACACGGGACTGGGCAGCCCTGACCCGGCCACCCTGTTAGGAAAGGAGGAAGAGGAAGTGATATCTAAGAAGTGGCAGAAAAAAGAGTGGAGTGAAGAGGGAGCAAGCAGGATAGGGAGAGTGGACGTGGCTCTGTGACTACTACTGGGGAGGAGCTGAGCAGGAGAGGTCAATCGGGAACTGGCTAGTTGCCTAGAAGGGAATGGACTTTCTTCTGGAGCAGTGGGGAGCACAGTGAGGTATGTGTGGTGGAGTGTTAAGTGAAGAAGTGGCATATTTGTATGTGGGGAAATGGACTATAGTGGGTCAAGATGAATTAGGAGGCCTGTATGCCAGGGAATAAATGAGAATCTAAGAAGTGCCTGGTTGAACTGTACTGTAGCCTAGTGGTTAAGAGAGCCAGATCCCATATGGTAGACCACGGTTTTAATCCCAGCCCCAGCAGCTTGAAAAACACAGCAGGCACAGGTGCATGTGTGCCCCGAATCCTGACAGAGAAGGGATTGCAGCATGATGGTGCCCCATGGGTGGGGATGGGGGTGTGATCTCTCTCTCTTTCCCCACCCCCACTCTCTGGTGAGTGCATGCCCTCGGGCAATTAAAAACAAAGTGTCTGGCAAGCCTAGCATTCTATACATTGTATTGTATTATTAGTCCA